TAGAAACTCGGCTGTTTTTGTTTAACTCTTAATTCAGAAGGACCAAAGCTTCCCCCTGCATATTAGTAGTCCCACAAATAAGGTTTAAAATAATAAGAACCATGAGTATCTTCACTTTGATCATTTCTCTAAAAGCAGAGACCATCTCACTGAAAAAGTTCTCGTCAGTGCCACGTGAATAACAACATCTAATATCTTCGTACTGTTTTCATCATCCATCCATTTTGAAAATATTGAAATGACTTTCGCTTAAAAATGAGATGGAATCTGTTTATAATAAGCCTTTTATATTTGGAGTTTCCAAATGCTTGCCTCTAAGCAACCTCAAAATCGGGTGTGTTTGTTCTCTCTCACACGTGGTAATGCCATCGCAGGGAGAGCTCATGTGTCGAGGAGATGAGGGGGGACAAGGGTGACAGCGCTGCGGTCCTGGGGGGGGCTCACCTGCACCTCCCTGTGCACGGGCCCTTTAACCCCCAGCTACATCCATCAATTGTGATGTGACAGTGACAGAATATTCCCAAGATTTTGAATGATTGTTGGGGTGTGTGACATCTGTCCCTGGAATGAAATGTCCCTGGCCGGGAAATATGTTTTCCCCCTGCTGCAGGTTTCCCAACTCAGAAACCCCTGAATAACATGTTATTTACTTTCTTCTAGTTTAAAGAGGGAAACATTGGTTTTCAGGGCCCTAAACAATGGCCCCTAGTAGTTAACTTCCACAGTTCGTTCAAATGCTCTGGGGAGACTGTAATGAAAAAAAATTTTTAACTTTCTAAATCAGATGCAAGCCTTTGAAAACCTTATTTCCTAATAGAAAATAGATTACATACATAAGAAATAGTTTTATACATGTTTTTCAATTCCCTGCAAGAGAACTAGATTTCTGTAGCCTATAAGGGAAAAGTTTAGACAACTCTACTTTATGTAAATTTCACTAAGCATGTAATTTCAGGACTTTTCAGCTCACCAGCCTCTCCAACATAAAATAATCACTTAGAAAAATTAAGGATGGTATTACACAGAAAATCTTAATTCTCACTTTTACCAGGGAATGCAAAGCATCTTTGAAGCATAATTTTATAAATACGTTTCAGACAAATCCGGGACTACTGACCAATATAAATGGATAGTTTGCCAATATTCAAACACATTATAGCTGTATACGTAAACCTAGAAGAAGATGACACACTCGCTCGGACTGCTATCCTCCTCTCCCCTACTCCATCAGAGAGACGCCCCAAAGCAAAATGGAAACTGACAGATCTGGGAAAGCTCACCTAAAACTGAGCGATTCCTGCAGAGATGGAAGATGGGTGGGTCTGAAGGAGGAGGTATTGGCAAACCAGAGGAAAGCGCATTGCATGCTTCGCAGGATGAGTTGTCTTAGTTATGCTCTTTTCCTCCAGAATTTCCCCAGATCTATTATTGCCTTCCCTCCGGCCACTGTGGGGCATAGAACTGTAGCGCCCCTGCAGCTGCTCAGCGCTGTGGGTCACATTGGTGCCGAGGGAGGGGCTATCCAGGAGACAGGCACTGTTACCAGCCCCTGAACATTCACTCCCCGCGCCCCCCCCCCCCCCCCCCGCCCACCTCCTCCACAGTGAGGCCCAGACATCACAGCCCAGGAGGCAGCTCAGAGCAGTGTCAACCCCAAAGCACAGGGTGGCTCTCTGAGAAACAGGAATTGGGAGTGAGGGGCACCCCATCCAGAACATAATTGACGGGGAAAAACAGGCCAGCAAGCAAGCAAGCAAGCACTATTTAAAAAGATCACAAACTCAACGAATGAACGAAAGAGAAAAATACAGAACTTTTTTTTAAAAGGCACATGTCTGGGGCACCTGGGTGGCTCAGGCAGTTAAGTGTCTTAATTTTGGTTTCAGCTCAGGTCTGATCTCAGGGTCATGAGATGGAGCCCCAGGCTGCTCCGTGATGAATATGGAGCCTGTTTGAGATTCACTCTCTCCTCTCCCTCTGCTTCTCCCAGCACCAGCTCATCATGCACACTCTCACTCTCTCTCTCAAAAACGTATAAATAGCAGTGCCTGGGTGACTCCGTTGTTAAGCGTCTGCCTTCAGCTCAGATCATGATCTCAGGGTCCTGGGATCAAGCCCACATCGGGCTCCTTGCTTGGCGGGAAGCCTGCTTCTCTCTCTCCCACTCACGCTGCTTGTGTTCTCTCCCTCGCTCGCTGTCCCTCTCTTTCTGTCAAATAAATAAATAAAATCTCGTGTGTGTGTGTGTGTGTGTGTGTGTGTGTGTGTGTGTGTGTGTGTAAAGGCATAAGTCCAAGATATAAGAAAGAGCACCAAGGGTGCCTGGGTGGCTCAGTTAGTGGAGCGACTGCCTTCGGCTCAGGTCATGATCCTGGACTTCCAGGATCGAGTCCCACATCGGGCTCCCAGCTCCTTGGGGAGTCTGCTTCTCCCTCTGACCTCCTCTCTCATTCTCTCTCTCACTCATTCTCTCTCAAATAAATAAATAAAATCTTTAAAAAAAAAAAGGAAGGAAGAAAGAAAGAGCACCAAATTTACTGGCAGTATTTTATATTTCTTAAACTAGGAGATGAGTACAACTGAGTTTATTCTATTCTTTTAATTTTATACATATGCTATAAATATTTAACATGTTATGTAACTGATTTTTAAATATTTATTTCTGAAAACAAAGGAAGATCAGATAGCTTTGTGGAAGCTACCAAAACAAAAAGAATTTGTGACCTTAGGGGCGCCTGGGTGGCTCAGTGGGTTAAAAGCCTCTGCCTTCGGCTCAGGTCATGATCCCAGGGTCCTGGGATGGAGCCCCACATAGGGCTGTCTGCTCCGCAGGGAGCCTGCTTCCTCTTCTCTCTCTCTCTGCTTGCCTCTCTGCCTACTTGTGATCTCTGTCAAATAAATAAATAAAATCTTTAAAAAAAAAAAAAAAGAATTTGTGACCTTAGAGGAAGAAAATTAATCTACAAAAATGTTCCTCAAACTTCACTATTACACTGATCCCTTTTAAGGAGAACAAAGTAGTCATTAACCTCCCCCACCCCCACAAAAAACACTGACTCTGAGGAATGTATTCTTGGACCCCATAAACAAATTTGAGAAACACTGAATTAATTAGTTCATCTTAATTTTTAAAGCATATGTCAATTTTAAATCGCCACAGCATAAATTTTTGACAACAAAGAGAGATCTCATCTTTAATAATTGGTTAAAAATATGTTTAGAAAATCATCAAAGTATAAATCTGGAATTTAAAATTTTCCATGGAACTTTTCACTCCCAAGGAAACATCCACAGAGCCCAGGGTACACAGCCCCTAGTTTGAGGAATACCAAGAATTCTGGAAGAGTTGCAGTTACAAGACCCAAGTTCCATCGTGCCTTTTCAAGGAGAAAAAGTGATGGTCAATAATCCATTGCAGATGAAATAATTTATTTGTAAATATGCACAGAGGCGTATTTATGTGTACTACTTCCTCATGTTTGCTAAGCTGATACTGTAGAGTCAACTAAACCACACATCCGTATAAACCAATGTCAGACAATATGAGTCAGCTGGAACTGTTTACAAATAAAAACAGAAATAGGCAACATCAGACATTAATAAGCATGATGTTAATGCAAAATGGAAATAGTGGGGTATTACAAGAATTGTGGGGTATTACAAGGCATTGATAAATAATTTGTTGAATTTCATTGAGTGGGTCGGGTCCAAACAGTACTGTTACTAAGTGTTTCACATCCTCCTTTCTGATCATCCCACCTTCAGCAGAATTTCTCTGCAGTGAGTCTTTTAAAGGTCCTCACATACACCCAGGATGGCTAACACGGGCTTTCTTTTCCCACCTACCAAGGGAACCACCAAGAACCCTACACAGGTTGGCACCATTAGCCCATTCGCCTTCTACAATACCTCTGTGACTTGCCATTGTTTCCTTTTCCTTCACAAGTCTGCACCCAAGTCTGTAGAGACCCTTCATCTCTCTCCCAGATGGGTTTCTCCAAACGGTCTGACCCAATAAGATAATGTTGGGCATGCCGCCCTCTCAACTTTGCTGATCCTTCTCACGCTGTCTTTGCGCAGGTTACTCACCAGACATTCTGATGCTCTTTATGTGGAGGTCTTTGGATCCCTGCTATCTCTGTGCACATAATCTATTCTTTCTCACACTTGGCATTGTCCAGTGGGAAGCCTGGGGAAGGCCATGGTTGTTATTGATGAGTTTGCAAGAGTTCCATGTTAGGCCTTACACCTCTTTACACTTCCAGCTCCGAGCCTGCTTAGAAGAATGCCTGTCACTTAAAAATCATTTACTTAATGATTGTGAAAGCACTTGGCAGTGAAAATGCTTACGTCATGTAACAGAGCTGGACTTGTTGGCTAGCTTTGATTTAATATTAAGTCAAGTGGAAACTTAAGATGATCATCTCTTCTTTCCTTCACTACTTTCCTCTCCCCTCAAAATCAAAGCACCTCAGCCTATGTTGTTGGAGATTGTAGGGAACATTTTTAAATGGGTAAGAGCATGAGTTTCAAAATTAGATAGTTCTGGGTTCAATTCCAACACTTGCTAGCTGTATGAATTTGTGCAGGTTGAATAACCTTGCAAAGCCTTGGTTTCTACGCTATAAAATAAGGATAACAACAGTACCTGTCTCATGTGACCTTTGCCATAATTAAATGAGATAATGCACATAAATGCTGTGGCAGGTTTGGTGCCTGTTCTTAACAATAGGAAAAGCAGGATAGCTATGTGTCATGATGTTGTTACAACATATCTGTTAACTTACTCAAGTCACCTGAATGACCCATGTTGTAGGGTTACTGTAGTAGTTAGTTTACAGGTGAGAAAATAGCAGAGAGGTTAAGCCATTGGCTCATGATCACACAGCTAGTAAATGCTCTTAATAAGCATTAACGATTTTTAAATGTTTGATTTAATGGTGTAGCCCTTCGTTTCTGGCATTGGTCTGTGCTAACCCACTGCTCCTGTCTCCTTACAGGTGACTATCCTGCACCCAGAGCTGTCCTCACAGGCCATGACCATGAAGTTGTCTGTGTTTCTGTCTGTGCCGAACTTGGACTTGTTATCAGTGGTGCTAAAGGTCAGAAGGCATTTCCTTCATTTTAGGTCTTTTAAAACGGTACTGTTTTCTCAAGCTAACCGTGATTTATGATTTATTGCCTTTGGGAGGCTCTCAACAGACAGTGGAATCCTTGGGTTCCTTGTAACTGTTTTGTTTTCTTATTAATATTTACTAGTACTAATATGGAATATACATAAAATTTTATGTGGTGCTTTGTGGTCACCAGCATTCTAGCCAGGACACTGGTAAATTAAACTGCAGCACATCCCTACAATGCGGCCATTAAAAAGAACATATAAAAGATGGGGGAAGGTATCCGTGAGGCAATGGGAGTCCTGGGGGCGTCAGGTTGCTTCTCAGACATAACCTTGGACCCACCTCCCTCTAGAGCCCCTTCCTTCCTAAGGCCCGGGGCTGTATTGAGGTTGGTGGGAAAGTATGCATGATTACTTGCGGGGGTTGACTTTTTGTGGAAAAAGGGTTGTTTCAAGAAAAGTCAGGAAACTCGGATTCCCATCCTGGATCAGACGCCCAATTCTCTGTGGTGAGGCTGTGGGGCAGGAAGGAGCCTGGGGCTCAGGAGAAATGGCAAGAATACCAGAGGGGCTGAGTGGATACTTGTGGTGGCAGAGTTAGGGAGAGAGAAGGCTGACAGGCGGGCGGGCCGGTGGATTTGCCGTGTGTATTTTATTCAGGGTGTGGTAGGAAGCCACTGAAGTTTTTTTAAGCAAAGTGATGCGATGATCAGATTTGGTTTTTAGGAGCTTATCCTGGCTGCTTTATGGAAAATGGATGTAATGCCTGAAGGTTAGAGACTGTGTTTTTTCACTTTTGTATCTAAGAGTAAATGACCCTGTGGACACATAGGATATTTTCAATAAATGTCTTTTTAATCAAAAAAGGAAAGAGCAACAATATGTGTAATGTTATTCTATCCTGTAAAGTGAAAAGGAAAAGAAAAAAAAGACACATAGTAGGTATAGGGGGGAAAAAGATATTTTCTAAAGGCAATAGGTGATATTAGAGGTGTTGCTATTTTCTTTTTCTCCCGAATTTTCTTTTAGTAATCAGGAAAAAATTTAGCCTTATAAAGCCACTTGTGTAAACTACATATCTACTAGAGTCAATGGGAACAGAAATGGAATGCATAAACTGTCTTTGTGAGGTGGTTTTGTTGGCGGGTGGGTAATACCAAACTATATGAACACGTTATTTCTGTCAACTTGCCTAGTGAAATTTTTATCTTATCAACACAATTTCTACCGGGTTGGGGGGGTGGAATCAGAGCAAAATAAGTCACTCCCCAGCCTACTTTTATACTCTTGCCTCACTGTTTGTATTTACAGACAAAACATGTTTCTCTTGTCTGAATTACTTGATTAAGTATCTTAATTTTGCCTTTTACATTTTGTGTATGGATTATGGAGAAGGTAAAATTCATTTGATAGCAATGTATTTATATGGTACAATGCTTTGGTACAAAGCATTGGTACAAAGCTATGGTACAAAGTTTTGATGGTACTCAAGAAAATTAGCAGTTGTTTTGGTCATTCTCCTAAACTTTTGAGAAACATAACTAAAAAAGAAAACTTTCAAAAACACAAACTAAAAAAGAAAACTTCGGGACATACAGTCTTCTCTTGTCACATTATCTATGAGGTGTTTCCTTTTTTATGAATATTATCTCATGAAGGAAAAGACCAAGTATTTCCCTAGATAAAAAGTTGGGAAGATCTGTGTGTGTTAACAGCTCCCTGTATTCAGTGTGGGTTTTGTTGTTGTTATTGTTGTTGTTTGTTTGTTTTCATATATAAATATTTTTTTTTAATTCAATTAGCCAACATATAGTACATCATTAGTTTCAGATGTAGTGCTCAACAATTCATCAGTCACATCTATGATCTGTTTAAATATACCATCTGTGCTTGGCTTCTGCCAGCCTTACCTCTTTTCCTTTCTGCCTTTTTGCAACAAATCAGAGTGTACTTAGCCAGGTAGGGTTTGTGGGTTAGTGAGTGCTCATACATGACTTGTCATGAATGACTGTGGCCATGCATTTCTTCCTTCTGCAGAGGGCCCTTGCCTTGTCCACACCATCACTGGAGATTTGCTGCGAGCCCTTGAAGGACCAGAAAACTGCTTGTTCCCACGCTTGATTTCCGTTTCTAGTGAAGGCCACTGTATCATATACTATGAACGAGGGCGATTCAGCAATTTCAGCATTAACGGGAAACTTCTGGCTCAGATGGAGATCAATGATTCAACCAGGGTAAATCTTCATATTCAGTGCTAAATAGGGACTGAAGCCACGAGATTGATCGACCTTCTTACATTAAACAATTCATAATAGAATTTCTCAGGTATCCAGATAAATAAATGTGTGCTGGTTTGTTTTTTAAGGTATTATTTATTTATTTGAGAGAAAGAGCATGGACAAGGTGGAGGGGTGAAGGAGAGAGAGAAGCAGATTCCCCGCTGAGCGAGGGCACGGAGGGAGGAAGGGGCTACCCTGAGATCACCACCTGAGCTGAAGGTGCCCCAAATGTGTGCTGGTTTTAAAAGCCTGTAAATTCATGTAGATGAGTGCTTTGAACAAACCCAAAGTGCATTTAATCCCAAGTAGCTAACTCAGTGAATTGGGTTTTAAAGATGATAGCTTTTGTTTGATTGAGGTCAGACCCCTAAGGAGATTTTTCTTCGGCTCCTTTATAAACAGTGCTGCACCCCCTGACATTAAAAGTGAGTTGATTGTCAAAGAATCTTACCTTTAGGGCCCCAGACCACAATTACATGTTCCAGACTGCCGTTCACTCAGAAATGAATTGTGATGGTTGCTTTATCGTTATTAGAAGCTGTTTTGAAATATGCTTCTGCCATTTGTTCTGAAAGCCTTGACATTGTTAATGTTCAGGACTTAACAAAACATCATGTTACTTAATTCTCAAGTTCTTCCTGAATTAGATTGATAATATTCTCTCTGGGACCTCTGTTATTTTGTAACCATAATTGGTTTTAATAAGACCCTTTGTTTATGTAAGAACTCTGATGAATTCCACATTGGAAATTTTGTGGACTGGACTAAAGGCAACTTGGACAAATGGCTAAAAGTAGATAATAATTACGAGGGAACTGGATTGAGGGCTTTTCAGCAATGAACATTGACCATCTGGGAAAAACTGAGAGAAGTTGTTGTTTCTCTGCCTTTTCCGAAGGCCATTCTCCTGAGCAGCGATGGCCAGAACCTGGTGACCGGAGGCGACAACGGTGTGGTGGAGGTCTGGCAGGCCTGTGACTTCAAGCAGCTGTACATTTACCCCGGATGTGATGCTGGCATTAGAGCAATGGACTTGTCCCATGACCAGAGGTGAGCCCCATCAGGGAGAAACGTAATCATGTCAGGACTGTCACTGAAAGTTCTTTACATTCTACCAAGGGTGACAGGTGCTGTGAATAAGATTCCAGCACCCAGATGGAAGAAAGACTAGCACCGAAAAGGGTACATGGAGGAGGGGAGGAAGTGCTGTAAGAAAGGATTCTGGTCAAAAGGAAACAGAGGAAGAGAGTCAGAACGGGTGGTGGGTGGAAAGAAAGGAAGACATGGGTCAGAGGAAGAACCGGCACATCCAGACACTGCCCAAAACAGAATTATTCCCACCGACGTCTCTGTTCTAAGATCCTCACCCCGTCTCAGACAGGGCCCCGGCATCCATTCTGAAAACGTTCTGCTTCTCTGCTCAGGTGTGTTTCAGCTTGAGACATGCTTGTAGCTAGCAATGCCCCCAGAACTGACCTCTGTTTGAAAAGCTGCAAACAGTCACCTGTTACTGAAACCATCCCTCCCCCCACTTTCTTATGCACATATTCCTCATTTATGTTATTTTGTTACAGTTTATATATTTCCCTGAAACATTACAATCTTTTTTTTTTTTTGAAAGAATTGATGTGAGAGTTAAGCAATTAATAAAATTTTCCATTTTCCCTCGGTTGGCAACAGGATTTTACTAGTCCCTAAAACTCACCTTGGGGTTTACTGTAAAGGGAAAAGGATACTTGGAATATGAAGTCTAAAATTTCTAACAATTTAAACAATTTTAAACTCTATAATCTTAACGGGGTATGTAATTTCTTCTTTTTTCTGTATATTTATCAGAAATAAAAGCTTATTAACCAAATTTTTAAAACTATATGTATATTCTTTATAAAGATACAGGTTTCAAAATATTATAAACACTAAGGCTATATCACAAACTTAACAAAGCACCTACACAATCTAGTAAAATGGTACTGAAGTCATCAAGAAAATACAGTACCCCTTTGGGAAAGGGGTATTTTTGATATGCAGCCTAGCCTGTCTTTAAAGAAAACTTAAAAGAAGCAGTGTTCCAAAATGCTGCAGTCCCTATTCATGAGTAAATGGGAACGCCTTTGTTGTGTAATTAGGTGTGGATACCTGAGTGTTTCTAAAGTATTTGAAATAAAGTAATTGCAGTTGTGTTTTCAGTAGTTTCAGTGCTCTCCCTGACATTCTTACTCACGCGTGTATTCATGCTGCAAACATTCGCTATCATCATAGAGTAAGCACTACCAGGTACTAAGATTACTGACCCCCTAGGAGCTCAAATAATCATAGTAATTGTATATGAGGGAGGCAGGGATGACATGTCAGGAGAAGGAAGTGACTGACTTCTGGAGGGGTGAGGAGGGCTTTATTCACTAGGCATCAGGAGAGAGGGTCGGTGTCTCCAAAGAGGAGTGAAGAAAGACACTGGTCAGGTTTCTACTTCTATGTAAATCTCATCCCTAATTTCAGTTATTTTTGTGTCTTAAACTGTCCCTGATATGTTAGAGCAGAAGCACATGCACGGAAGTGATATACACACATTGAGGCTGCTTCCCCCAAAAATACTTACCTGGTGAGCTGTCTGGTCCAAAACTAAACAACACGCGGTCTGGCAGTCCGGGTCTGAGCAGGATCGATTCAAGTTCTCCAGAGAGAACCAGGAATAAATTGTAATCCCGTGTCGATGGCCACAAAACTAAGACCCAAGGGGAACTCAGAGATGGTAACAGGGTCTAGTAGAAAGGAGCAACCCCATCAGGGAGCTCACCTCACTCTTAACTACCATCTCTGCTCTTCCAGGACGCTGATCACTGGCATGGCTTCTGGTAGCATCGTAGCTTTTAATATAGATTTTAATCGGTGGCATTATGAGCATCAGAACAGATACTGAAGACAAATGAAGAACCAAAAGCCAAGTCAAAGCTGAGAGCACAAGTGCTGCATGGAAAGGCAATATCTCTGGTGGAAAAAAACTCGTCTACATTGACCTCCGTTTGTACATTCCATCACACCCAGCAATAGCTGTACATTGTAGTCAGCAGCCATTTTCCTTTGTGTGTTTTTTCACGACTGAACACCAGCTGCTACCAAGCAAGCTTATATCATGTAAATTATATGAATTAGGAGATGTTTTGGTAATTATTTCATATATTGTTGTTTATTGAGAAAAGGTAGTAGGACGCGTCACAAGAGACTTTTGACAATTCTGAGGAACCTTGTGTCCAGTTGTTACAAAGTTTAAGCTTTGAACCTAACCTGCATCCCATTTCCAGCCTCTTTTCAAGCTGAGAAAAAAAAAAAAAAACACGTTTGATACTTTGTACATCAGATGCATCTTATTTAAAGGGATACTTTTATAAAAGTAAAACCTTGTATAAAGAACAAAACGTTTCTTAATTTTATTGTGGAGTTACAACTTGCATGTTCTTTAATCCTGATGTCTTGATGGAACAGGTGCATTCACACTATGAAACAGAAAGATCTGTCCAAGGACACAGCTTGTATGAAAGGGTTGAATTTGGGCTCAATCAGTAATTTTTGACATTCTCACCAAATATGGTTTGCACTTTTTAATCTAAATTCATCCCTTCTAAGTGAAATTTGCTCATAAAGCATTTGGATACTAAGCCATTATTTGCCATTTTTGCTACTTTATGCAAAGAAAATTCAGCCCTACCCTTCATAATTTGAAGCCACAGCAGAAAGGGGGCTTAGGGATGAGGTCTTGGTTTTTATCGTATAAATAGGAGTCACGATCATTAGTTCCATAGTAATGACTTCCCAACTCCTGGACATCTCTTCCAGAGTCATCCTGCTGGCTTAGTGTGTGTACATTAGGGGTGGAGAATCTGATGCTAACTATTTTTGGTTCTGTTTTTTGGTTTTTTTGTTTTTTGGGTTTTTTTGTTTTGTTTTTTTTCCTCCTTGGTTCTCAAATAGCTTAGTTTCTTTAATAATGAGTCGGGCTTTATTATAACAATAACTGAGGTTATTCTTTTAGGTTCTTGTGCAATTCTCACCTAAAGCCACATTCTTAGCCTAAGGCATTTCATCTTTTATGATATAAAATGATGGGTATCAAATGATTTTCCATACCTTGTACTGATCAAGTTATACACCCAGGGGTATATACACTTTATTCATGTTTCTTCTTTGTATATTTGGTGGCTGTATCGTCATAGATGTACATATTGTGTCGGTAGGGCTATGAGGCATGTTCCAGGAATGTAATTTTCTCAGAATTTATACTCACTTGCAGTCATTTATTTAAAAAGATACAACAAGATAATGGGTTCTTTGTATTGGCACTTTGCACCAGAAACATATCATTATTTATTGACGTGATTACTTATTTGTCATCCACCTTGTATTAGTAAGTTTTAGCACTGAATTCCTTCTTCATTGTTGTTTGTATTTATGATATTCTGAAATTCTGGGGGATCAGCGTAATGATTAAGTTATTCATCATCAGGCTGTAAGCAATATCTTGAGTTTGTAGCTTAGAATTGGGAGGATACTGAACATCTGGAAGACAAGTTCATTTCATCTTGAGATCATGGTGAAATATTTTGGATATATAAATTCCTTAAGCTATTGTAACCATGTTTTATTGCAAAGATGTAAAATATGCCAGATGTGTGTGAGTTGGAAATCAAAAAAAGAAAAATAAAATATGCAAAGAATTCACTGATTGTTTCACATTTCATTGGACACTTCCCTAACATGCATTCATTATGTTGTCATACAATTTAAGAAATCAGCATCACCTCATATAAAGGCCGACGGCATCTCAAAACATGAACTAGAGTCCTAATGAGGTTCTGTAATTTGCTGAAACGTGAGCTTCTCTGCTTGACCATCTGGTGGGGATTTGGGGCAACAGTGACCAGAGGGAAACAGCCCGGTTGTTTCTTCCACATAATCCACTTTTTGGATTATTTTTATTTTATTTAAAAGGAACTAAATGCAGGTGATGGTGAAGGGTATATTTGCTCATTACATGAATATTATCAAATAATGCTGTTCTCAATTGATCTGTGCTTTCTAGAATTTGTCGTGGACCAGGCATGACACGGGCAGGGACTGAGCAACCCGCAGGAGCCCAGCAGCTGCCAGCAGGGTGGAGGTGGGGGGGTGCGGGTGGGGGGGGTGGTTGCTGAGGGGACTCGATTTGGCTGGTTTGGCGCAGGCAGTGGGGTAGCAGCCCAGCCGGCCCAGGGAGGGATAGAACTGCAAGCAAGCTTCCATCTGCGTCCTCCAGACCAAAAGGACAACCAACAGCAGCCTGAGAAAGGCTTGCTCCTATCCCTCTCCACCCCGTCCCCCAGCCAGACATCTGTCAGTCATCATAAGCCCAGCCAGCTCCCTCAAACCGGCCTTCTGGCAGCCCATCAGTCACTCAGATAGGCTGGCTACCGGTGGCTCTTTAAACCAACTCCCTGCTTCTAGAACCATCATCTGAACTGTCACCAAAACCTCCTGACCAGTAGCGGAGTCTCCAGTCAAACTCTCTGCTGCTCGTGGCTCTGGTTCACTACCACCCAGTCACATACCAGTCATCCCACTGCTGAGCACCCTAGCACTGGCTTTCTATATTCTTAAACTCTGGTGGGGTGGAAGCCGGGGGGAGAGCGGGCGCGGAGATTGCCTGGGGAGGTTATTTTTAAGAGTGGAACCTAGGCCCCTTCCCTCCCAGGCGATTCCACTGTGGGTCATCCTTGGGCATGTTTTCAACATCACTAATGTGAGGGAGGAAATCCCAACTCAGTAACTGAGCACAGAAGTTCTTCAGGAGAGAAACATTCTCATTATCCCTCTCCGGCACCCTGTACGTCAGGGGCACCGCCTATTTCCAAATCCCTGAGAACTTCCCTGTGCCTTGGGCCCTAGTGCTCTCCCACCCAGAGAGCACTTCATTGCGTTTACTATCTGGCTGGACTTGTTGCAAATTGACCTAAATCAATTTGGTCGTGGTCAGTCTTTTGGCAGAGAAAGGTAGTACCCAAACCGCACGTGCACACTATATTATGATGCAAACAGTTTTCAGGACCAAATTCTGCCACGTGTGGAGATAGCTTTTCACCAGTGTGGAGCCCAGTGTGCGGCTTGAACTCATGACCCTGAGATCCAGACTTGAGGGGAGATCACGAGTCACGTGCTCAACTGACGGCACCACCCAAGGGCCCCTTTCACAAACATACGTTCGCAGTCAAGTACAAAACCAAGCATAGAGTTCTTCTGGGTGGTGAATTGCAGCGCCGTTTTAGATGATCTAACAACCGTTTGTGTCAACATTTTAGGAGCAGGATCCTATCAGCCTTGTGACGCCATCAGAAGGCTGTGATGCCATCCAGTCCAATTATTTGGGTATCAGCTTTGGGCACCCAAACTAAGGGTATAGACTAATGTCTTCAGTGGATTCTTATACCTGGTTGTGAAGAGGTAGGAAAGGTCTCTAAAATACCGTAGCCAGTGCATATTGAATTCACACATATTAACTACCACTAATTTCATCAATGAGAGACCATTTGTAGCATCCCTTACGCTAATTAAGGCGGCAAAAATTTCCCCCACTGAAAAGCAGTTCTTGGCATTCACTATCCTAACTTAATAAAAGCTTTTGGTTTCCTTTGGAATAAGGAAGTTGGAGCTCTAGGCCCTGACATATATGGAGACCTTGCTGATTAAATGATCTGGGGCGTGAATCTCTGATCAGAGCAACTGACCACCCCTTAGAATGCAGTATCAGGGCACCTGGGTGGCTCAGTTGGTTAAGCAACTGTCTTCGGCTCAGTTCATCATCATGGAGTCCCGGGATAGAGTCCTACATCAGGCTCCCAGCTCCATGGGGAGTATGCTGCTCCCTCTGACCTTCTCCCCTCTCATGCTCTCTCTCACTCTCTCTCAAATAAATAAATAAAATCTTAAAAAGAAAAAAAGTATGTAGTATCAATTAGTGAATACTATCACAATGGCTTCGTGGATATTTTCAAGTAAATTACAACATCATAATACTTCTACCTATTGTTATAGATTCAACTCATGTGCTTTCTTCTCCGTGAGGCTTTCCCTGCCTGCTGCGTTAGCTTCCTCAAGCCTGGTATGTCCCTCTCACAGCACTGAGTGGTGTGTGGTCATGGCTTACTTGTCTCTCCTCTCTGGTGGCTGTGAGCCTCCCGGGCAATGGCACCCTTTTATCCCGCAGCCTTAGTACAGTGTTGGATTCACATAGATTTCAATAAATGTAGACTTGCTGAATGTAACAGATAAATACCAGATCCCCAGATAAAAGTGATAAAGTTGGCTGGGATGCAATACTTCTCCCCACTACTTGGGACTGCCCTCTCCTGCCCCGCTCTGTGGTCCTTCCAGAGAGCATATGCTCCAGTCATCACCACCGTCGTGGGCTTTTTCCATCCGGGCTCAAGGAATCACTGATTATAGCAATTCCCATATCTATAAAAGAAGGAATAAATTTTTAAATTACTGCTTTTTACTCGCATTCATCCAGTTGGGAAAAAAAGGGGGGAGCTGACATGATTTGGGATAAGAATTTCTCCTGGTATTCTGGTCAGTTCGAGCACCGAAGAGCATGATCCAATAATGGGGCTTCTCACTCCGGAAGTAAACTTTAAGTTCCCTCATCAATTAAAATGCATATAATAGCATCTACACTACAAGTTGTTTTTTTTTTTTAATTTTAAGATTTTTATTTATTTATTTGTCAGAGAGAGAGAGAGAGAACACACAAGCAGACAGAGTGGCAGGCAGAGGCAGAGAGGGGAGCAGGCTCCCCACTGAGCAAGGAGCCCGATGCGGGACTCGATCCCAGGACCTTAGGATCATGACCTGAGCCGAAGGCAGCGGCTTAACCAACTGAGCCACCCAGGCATCCCCTACAAGCTGTTTTTGACAATCAGATTTCATAACGTATGTCTATCCCCTAGTGGAACACCTGGCTCTCAGTAGAGTTCGGATGGACATTGCCTTCCACAGTCTAGTGAACATGTTTCATTTCATCTGCTTGGCATCCTTTCCCTATTTGTCTTCCTTTTTTTTTTTTTAAGATTTTATTTAATTATTTGACAGAGAGAGATCACAAGTAAGCAGAGAGGCAGGCAGAGAGAAAGAGAGGAGGAAGCAGGCTCCCCACCAAGCAAAGAGCCTGATGCAGGACTCGATCCCAGGACCTGAGATGACCTGAGCCCAAGGCAGAGGCTTAACCCACTGAGCCACCAAGGCACCCCCCTATTTGTCTTCTATGCACTGGTTGGGAGGGGATACTTTTCCTCCCTTTCCTGTGATATGGTTTACTGGACCCCAATCCTTGGGACCTCCTGGATTCACGTCTGTCCATATCACCTCCATTCTGGTGACATGAGTGATTGGACAAGGGGTTGACTGACCAGAGCCTTCCTTGAAATTTGGATATGCTGAAGGGAGGGAGAGAAGTCTTCTCCTCTGGTGTCACTAATCTGTCACCGAGAAAGCAGTGACTGCTAGCAACCATGTCCTCCATCACACAGAGAAAGCCTGTTGTCAATAGGTGAGGATAAAGCCATGAGAAATGAAAGATTATGTGCACTCGTCCACTAGCCACAGCCCACAAGCCCCTAAATTGCCCTCATTCTAATAGGTGGCCCAATTCTGGACCCCTGCTTTACTCGATGACCAAGAAACATCCCCCCTTCATCTGCCCTAATTGATCAAAGCTGTATTTTTGGTGCTTGAGAGCAAATGAAAGCACCCTTGACTAATATAGCCCCCTGTCCCCAGCTCCCTACCTCTGCTGAAAAAGATGGGACACAGTCTACATTTGGTAGTAAAACTAAGCCTCTTCCCAGCCTATAGTAGGACCCAGCAATCCCACATTTAAGTAAAGACCCAAATGAAATGCCTGTTTTTTCCATCAGCAAGATCTGGGTGGGTAGGGGGAATGCCCTTAGCAAGTTTGTTCCTAATAACCAAACATAGATGTTGACTAGAAAATTCCAGACACGAAAGAGTACATACCGGAGTTTACACAAAGTACCACACCCGGTGAAGCTGGCACAGGCTGTTACAAATCAGAACGAGGATTACTTTCAGTCAGAGACTGTAACCAGTAAGGGCCTGGAAGGGAGACCCTGGGGGGCCGGAGTCCTATCTTGGGGCTTTAGGTTGTCTCTGGTGAGCTGGGTGTGCTACCCTGGGGCATTCTCTTTGTGAATATTCATTGAGCTGTATGTTCAGTAATTACTTGTGTACTTCTCCATGTGTATGTTATACTTGAGTAAAAAGTGTACTTTAAAAAGTTAAAAATGTGCCCTGCCTCACACTAACTCTTGTCACCATTCCAGATTTGTCAGACATAAGCTTGTCCCAAAGTCAAGAGCCAGTGACCACCTCCAGCAGCAGCCTCTTTTTTTTTTTTAATTTTATTTATTTAATCTGATAGAGAGAGACACAGAGGAGAGGAAACACAAGCAGGGGGAGTAGGAGAGGGAGAAGCAGGCTCCCCACAAAGCAGGAAGCCCGAATCAGGACTCGATCCCATGACCCTGGGATCATGACCTGAGCAGGAGGCAGACGCTTAACAACTGAGCCAGCCAGGCGCCCAGCAGCAGCCTCTTTCTCCTGGCGTTTGCAGGTCTGCCATCTTGGCTGCCCTGTCTTGATGAGCACTGTTTTTCTTCCAATGACAGCCTTG